ACTCCTCACGATGCTGTCCTGCACAGACAAAGGCAATCGTGTAAGGGCTTGTGAATACTTGGAATTTTTTGCCCTCAGCATGGGAAGCTATGGCGACACTGCTTGGTTGATGAGTCAGGTTTGCGATGGGCTGACATTTACTTCCATTCCTACCTCACCCCATTGCTGACAATGAATGCGCCAAAGGATTTGGCCATTCCTCTATTTTGCCTGTCCGACTAGGCGTTAGGCGACTAAACGTATAAGGCGAATTTTTGTTAAATGACCTCACTTTAGAATGGAAACTCCTTTTGCACATGGAGAAATCGAGCAAATCATTTCCTCAAGAAAATTCCAATGAAGGGTGGAACCAGAAGATGTAATTCCTACAACTACGGCGATGCAGTATCCATTTGCAGTCTCCCTGAGACCCTCTCTTCTGATTATTTATTAAGTTTGGCGTTTATTAAAAGATTACCTCACTTAACCAATTATTGTGCTCCTTTACTGTGATTTGGTGACAGTGCGTACACAATTCCCATCAGAAAGGTCCTATGACGTTAGAAAAGTACGTGCGTTGGTAAAAGAATGCAAAAAGTTTTATTTTTCCCTTTTTAATAACTTTTAGATAAAGTTTCCTCGAAGTCATGAAACCAACTTGTAGATGGGTGGCAATGTGGCAGGCCAGGGGATGTGCACACGAGTGACTCACGAATGATGCAGAAGGCATTAGTCACGAAGTGGTGATGAATTTCGAAGGGCAAGCCAGAAAAACCCAACGACTGATACGGCCTTGTAATCTTGGCAAAAGGAAAGCTGTGCCGTGTGTTCTAGTGAAGAAGAGTCCAGTAACGTGATGCTGGAATATCGAGATTGTAGAATAATAGGAATTTGGCTGGAAAGGTTTGTACTTGATTGAACTTTAAGTTTCTGCCTTTATGGAATGAAAAACTTCCTAATCTGCACTCTTAGAAGCGCAACTTTGAGGCATTGTTGGCAATAAGTCAGTGATTTATATCTATGTAGCATTTTGCTGGCGCTGAGATCTCAGGGAAACCGCGGGTCTAGTGGTGCTAGTGGACACGGCAAAAAATAGTAGAATGAAGACTATAAAATCACAATAACTGGGGTCACATGATCTATTTTCTCATGCCATGCAGCAAAGACTCGGAAACCATTAACAAGTGCGGTGCTCCAAGTGTTGAAAGACCGATATTTGGGGGCATAGTGCCTCCATGCGTTAAAGAGGAGTGGATTCATTTTAATGGAATCTTTGAAACAGCCGAAAAGAAACCCAAGACAGAAGTGAGACAAAAGGACAATAGATTTCACGAATGCGTTTTTCGAATCATCATTTATCCCGTTATAGAAGGATTATGAGGTCCTAAAGTTTCCATCATTAGAGACGTTGGAAACTTGCTTGCCCGACTTATGCCCGAGTGGTAGTTGAGTGAGCAATTTTAAGTATACCAACGGCCCGGAGGTGTGCCACTAATCATTAAGGTCATCCAGGTGATATAACGTAGGAAGGATGGTGGTGAAGGGTAAAGAGTCGATCACGAGAACTGTGAACAGAGAAATGGTATAAATAATAACGGAAGATAATTTAATTTCGTAATCAAAAATGTCTAATCATTAGAGGGAAAGAGAGGAAGAGCGTTATGAGAGTGTTAAAAGTAGCCTCAGCATTATAAGCAGATTTGAGGTGTTTCTAATCCTATAAAAAGCCCAACTTAAAAAAAAGCTGTGGAAAAGGTCAATAGTTGTGTGCAGTTGGGGACACAACCAGACCACGCAGTAAACGGAGTTGAAAGTCGAGGCGATGAATCAAGCGCTACTACTGGCACAATAATACAGGCCTAATATATTAGGGCGAGTGTGTGATCGGGTTTCTGTTGGGTTTAGGCAGGATTGAATTTGCAAAGTATGGAGTCTAGGTCCGCCTATTTCGACTCGGAAGGCAATTTTCTGGTGTAGTTGATGAAAAATTTAAATGTACTTTTTGGTTAGCTATCAAGTGTTATGATATCAGGAGTTGTTCCTTCTCGCAAACAAAGGAAATAATATCGTCTGACAGTAGCACGTCGTAGTCCATTTAATTAAAGCTGGAGAAGGAGGGGCGTTTCTCGGACTTCGCGATGACCACAAATGTTTTTTAAATTACTTGAACCGAAGCGAACTTTCGTAATAGCAGCCATGCTTTACGAAACGATAAGCAAAATCGGATGAATATCCATCTTCAATGAGTTTCTTTTGACAATAATTTTCTATACCACAAGCACATGATTAGCTATCTAAAATGCTACTATTAAATAAAAATAGTATTAATTATTAAGCTTGCAGTATTCTGCAATTAAAAGGTAGAATTGCCTAATTTGGCTCCAGTAAGTTCGTGACCTCGAGAAAACTACTAAACAGGAGGAGTGCTGGAGAACAGTGCGCTGTAAACCAAGAAATTAACGCGTTTAAAATAAACAAGCACTGGTTTTTAATGCTTGTTCAACATTGTTATGCTTTGTTATGTGCATAATGAAGATTTTGAGCGAAACCGTTTGCTCTCGCGGCACTTTAGACATACCATATGCGCTAAACTGACGGAAAATATTTACCAGCGATCATGTGAGGGCAGTGAAGTGATACATTATGTTTTCGTTAAAGTGGATAATCTAGTAGTAGTAGCGGCAGTAAGAGCGATGGTAGCAATGCTACGTGTTTAAGATGCTACTTTGTCGACTTGTTTACGGTCAGCAGATGCATTGGAAAACCGTGCGTACTTCTACTGGGTTAATTGTCACCTGCGCATTTGAGGTCAGTGAGTTTTGTAAAAGTGAGTCAAACTCTGTGATCCTGTTAAATACTCCAGTGGTCCTCCTCTCGCTCTGTCTCACATACACGCACCCACCACCAAGGTAAGGCTAACACGTGATATTGAAAAGCTTTTTTAGGGCCATTAAAGGACATGCATACATGGACGTCAAAGAGAATTATGGGAACACATTAGGTCCTTGCAACTTAAGGTTTCTTGAAAGGAAGGAGTCTTAAAGGCTCTGTTCATTTTTAGGGTGTCTTCATGCAAAGATTTTAGCGCCTCCCCTGATTTACGAAGGGTATGCTACAGAATGTCGACGTTGTTGTGTGTGTGTGTGCATGCGCACAGGAGCAGCTATGATAATAAAAACGTGTTGATGCGGGGTAGAATGCTATCAGAAGAAAACAGAAGCCACCAGTGCCAAAACCATTGCATGCCAGGCAGTTTACCTTCACATGCTCACATAAGTGCCATTCACAACAACAACTCCCACTCAAATCAATGCACCTTGTAAGCACGAAAGCAGGCACATCCAAGCGCCGCACAGAGTCAACTTTGCTTGGGCAGTGTCGCGACTTGGCAGGAGTGCCTCCAAAATCCATTGATTGGATCAACGAAGCTCTAAAAGCGTCTAGAGGCTGTCAGACTTTGACACAATTGTTGTAGCATCCGGAGAACTTCTTAAAGACGTAGTGAATCATTGTTCTGTGACAGAACATCTGCTGCCCACGTACAGGAGAACTGAGTGGCTTCGAGCACGACCTGCTCTGCCAGAATTCAGGGCTAAATGCACCACCTAAACATTACATCAGACGCATTGGTCAGGTAGATACTTTCTTATGAAACTGCTCAAAGCATTCTGGTGTAACAATCGCGAACTAGACTACTTTAACCAAAATTTTTGTCATCTTATAGTTTTTAGGTTCGATTTCATAACAACTGTTGGAATTCTCAATAATTTTCTCATGCCATAGTTATGCTTATCAGCAACATTCATTTATGAGAACACTTCAAAATGGCGAATCTTGTCATCCACCGTATTTGGAAGGAGTACTGTGTGTCACTTTTCCATCACCAAAAGCAGAACATTTGGTGTCATTCTCAATTACGGTCTGTACGCTGATCCATTCGATTACAACTGTCAGTCACAATACGGCCTACTTAACCCTAGGCGGGGGACTCTGACGGCGCGCAAGATCCCGTTCTGATGCTGTTCGAAGCTATTTCGAAAATCAAGGCCATCGTAGGGAAATATGAGGAGCTGAATGCATGTTCCATGCCTTCGCTTATGAAAATGTAATTGGTGGATTCGTTTTTCTCCATAAGCACACAAGTGAACTTAAGGACTTTACGGTCTGACGATAAACGTGCGATAGTACTGAATGGGCACAGTTTCTTGCCATCCACTTGCAACAGTGAAACGACTTCTGTTTCGCCAGTAAGTAACAGAGCTGTGTGATCGCCTTGCCTTCTGTGCTTTTGTTCTGACCACTTCTGATAACTATTTTTTATTTATGTTTTCATGGCGGAGTATAGCTTTTCTGCACAAGCAACCTAAGCACCTAACACACTTTAACTCCAAGCAACTCGTGCTTGCAAAAGGTACTTTTTCTCACTAATTTTTTCTTAAACTTCAGTCATGCAAGTAAAGTACCGAAAGCTGCAAAATGAATAGCTTCATTGAAAGTTTAATTTTTTGTGAATGCGAAAAATGGCTTAGCCATAAAATCGGCGGTCGTCAGTAGCTCCTTGACCCTTCCAAACATCATACCATGGTGAAGATTATTTCTTCGTTAAATTATACCTTCTGAAGTGACCGTATCTTTCCCAAAGAAGGCTCTGGCAAGGAGGTTAAATTTGCGTAGTGCCTAAATTGATTTCTGCCAACCTCAAAAACCAGGAGAGAGGGAGAGGAAGAGCCCTCAAATACTGGCTTTATGCAAAACTGCCTCCGATTTGCGTGATTTAGTGGCACACAATCAGCATGAATCGCCTGAAGTGCGGATTAGCACATAGAATCATTTATCATGCACTACTGGATCACTCAATTCGGTTAATCGGTGTTACTGAAGCACAGCTATGAGTCAACGAATCGGAGGCCTTGACTGTGCACGAGGGGGTGTGAATCGTTCTCATCTCACCAATCACAAACCACCGCATGACATATAAAACTATGGTGGCAGCTCTGTCAGTGCTTAAGGCTCCTCTTCTTCAAAATGCGCGAACTAGTCCACATGCAGGCGGGACAATGCGGCAACCAAATCGGTTCCAAAGTACCTCTTTTTTATCTTTTTATTATCCAACTTCTCAATTGATGCCTAATTGTCTTTCTTTGCTCTAGTTCTGGGAGACAATCTCACAAGAACACGGAATTGATGATAAGGGTGCCTACCACGGTGACTCGGACCTCCAGTTGGAGCGCATTAACGTATACTATAACGAGGGACAAGGTGGCAAATACGTGCCACGGGCTCTCCTGATCGATCTAGAGCCTGGAACTATGGATTCGGTGCGATCAGGTCCGTTGGGCAAGCTATTCCGACCGGATAACTTTATCTTCGGCCAGAGTGGAGCAGGCAACAATTGGGCAAAGGGTCACTACACTGAAGGTGCAGAGCTGATTGAAGAGGTGTTGGACGTCGTTCGAAAGGAGTGTGAGGCTTGCGATTGTCTGCAGGGCTTTCAGCTATGTCATAGTCTCGGTGGTGGCACAGGATCTGGCATGGGTACTCTTCTTATCGCAAAGATCAGGGAGGAATACCCGGACCGTATAATGACCTCCTTCTCAGTAGTGCCGTCGCCTAAGGTTGGTTTTCTTAGTATAGCGTTTTATTCGCTGGGTGTGATATCACTGTCTCATCACCAGACATGAAAGGATTGCAAATTTCAAAGTTAAGATATTTTTTTAAGGACCAACTACACTTGCGATTTCGCTTTGGTACAGGTCTGAAATCCCAACTCGGTAGTAGTTATTATTCCTCAAAGTGATCCACTCATCTCATTCGTGTATGCACTTTATTTTGATGGTCACTAAAAGATTCATTTAACAACAAATTAAACGCTTTACCTTTGCCATCTTGCATTCTGTTGAATACCCTCATTGCCACTCAAAGATAGGAGGTTATGAGAAAATTAATTCACCTCCCCATTTACATATGGATAAAAAAATTGGCCAGATTGTACCACGCTTCTAACCCATATATAGAAATTAGCAATTCACAAAAATGTCACGAAGATTTTGAATGCTAATCCCTACTGGATGACAAGTTCTTTAAAGTGAAGGATTGTCTTCATAGATAGTTCTGCTGATAAGTTACAGAAGGATTAACTTTCTCAGTTGAAATTTAAAGCCCTAAAATGTTTGCCTCGCAATGCAGGTGTCGGACACAGTTGTTGAGCCTTACAACGCCACTCTCTCAGTCCACCAACTAGTGGAGAGCACAGACGAGACCTTCTGCATCGATAATGAGGCACTCTATGATATTTGTTTCCGAACGCTGAAGTTGCCTAACCCGAACTATAGCGACCTGAATCACCTAGTTAGCTTGACTATGTCTGGTGTGACTACGAGCCTTCGATTTCCTGGTCAGCTGAACTCTGATCTGCGAAAACTGGCTGTCAATATGGTTCCTTTCCCGCGTCTGCACTTCTTTGTGCCTGGTTTTGCGCCACTCGCCAGTAGAACCTCACAGTCCTACCAGAGTTGTACGATCCTTGAACTGACGCGACAGATGTTCGACGCAAAAAACATGATGGCAGCGTGTGACCCCAGTCATGGCCGCTACCTCACCGTTGCTGCGATGTATCGTGGACGCGTGTCCATGAAGGAGGTGGAGGATCGGATCTTAGAGACACAGACTCGTAATTCCACCTACTTTGTGGAATGGATCCCAAATAATGTCAAGACTGCAGTGTGCGATATTCCACCAATCGGATTCAAAGTATCTGGCACGTTTATTGGGAACACTACGGCGATACAGGAATTGTTTACCCGTGTCAGTGACCAGTTTGCAGCCATGTTTCGTCGTAGGGCTTTCTTGCACTTCTTCACCAGCGAGGGCATGGATGAAATGGAGTTTTCCGAGGCGGAGTCAAACATGAACGACTTGATTAGTGAGTATCAGCAGTACCAAGAGGTCGGAATAGACGATGACTATGGAGAGGAGGGTGAGACAGCTGAGGAAGAAGCGCCTTTAGAAGAAGAATGAGAGAATGCTATTTCGCATTGTGTTTTAATAAGAACGATTCATTGTCTTGAGATGATTTACTTGTGTGATGGATTCTCCCTTCTCTGAAAATAACTGAGCTTTAGGAAAAGAGATACTCACAGAAGAGGCCGAAATCGTAGCCTTTGTGGAAAGACAACAAATGACGACGCTAAATTCCACACTTCCTTATAATGAAACAGAATTTGTTCTAATACACTTCGAAAAGTATGCAGCCGGAACGATAGAGAAATTCAATAAATTATTAGTAAAATAACAGTAAACACTACTGTTCCCTAAAGAACGATGCAAGGCTGATTCGTTTTTGACGAGCCCATTAAAGCTTTGACGACCTTGTAAGTGTGTTTTGAAGTCCCTAACTTTACACGTCGTGGGCGAACTGCTAAACTCAGAAGTCCGATTCAAGAAACACAAGCAGATGAGTGAAAGCGTTGTAAATGAAGTGTTAGTAGTTACTTAAGTTTAAATGTTCCATGTAAAATAAGGCAGCTGGGTCAGTTTCCAAATTTTGGATAGGCAGAGAAAAATAAGGGAGTATACTATGAAGGAAAAAATTATCAGAATGCAGTTAACGCCAATGTAGAGGCTGTCTGCCTACCCTCATGCTCTTGAATCTCGGACTTCAAGGCAGGGTTAATTTCAGTAGCTTTGTTGGGCATTGGGTAGAGGGAGAACGAAAATAAGGAGCATATACGGGTCCGAAAGCAGATGTCGCTCGGAGGAGAAATCCTCACTGTCGTGTTCAAATTAACTTCCTGCTCCTCCCCATAAAGGCAAACTTAAACATGCTAGTATATGTTACAACCGAGAGCATTAAACAAACCATTTTGCTTTCAAGGACAGCCAGTACATTTCTTTTAACAATAGTAAAAATTTACATGCTTGGTCACATCATTATTACGATAGTATATCGTATGATAGCAAGTTATGCAGCTTTTTAAGGGCCATAAATGGTGCAAAAAATATCACATTCCCTGTGCTAGGAGACCAGAATGTGAGTGCATTATCCATTATGCTTCAAAGACTGAGCCTTTGGTTAAGACATTTCTGCAGGCACTGCAGTCTTGCCACCTGTCCATCTCAAGAAGCTAAAAGTGCTAAAATATATTGATGTATATCCCTAAGTTTTCCAGCTGACTTATTGTAAATACTTTTATTGACATCATATTTTGTTATACTGAGCTGAGAGAGGTTGAGGCTCTTTAGGTTCTTCATGTTGCCCCTCATTTGGCATTACCTTGCAGCTTTTTAGCCTCTCCGCCCGTCAGTAATGAAATGTGCTTCTCAATTAATGTCCTTCCACAAACTTAAGGAAAACTTGCCACTTCAGGCTTCCTCACACAAATCCATATGCCCTTGTAACTTTGCTCTTGCCGTCATTCAAGACCTCCTTACATAGCCATCAATATACAGTTCGCTTTCAAAAGCTACATTGGATGCAGGTTATGAATGGTTAGTTAAAATTGAGAAAAAAATGCTGCTAAGGTCGGGACATGAGTTTGGTCGGTTATCTATATGTTAATATGGTTGCCTATAGATATTACATTTTTAAGCAAAACATTTTTTATCATGGCAGTATATACAACTTAGTAAAGGTCTATTTGGTTGAAATTTTATAACTACTTACTTTGCGTAAAAACTGAAATTAATTTAGCAACTGTAATTTAGAATATATGTTATTACTCATTTAAGCGTTTTTATAATTTATTTAAATTAATAGATTGTGTATTGACTTAGTGTTCTTCCTAGATTATGGCGTGTTTATGTCTGTAAAACATGTTAGGGATGTCAAGGTTGGGCATGGCCACGGTTTTGTATTCTCTGAGTGCGTGTTAAAGTTGGTAAGGTTATCTCAGCTCCCGATTTGATTAAAATATGTCAGCAATTCCAAAAAATGAACCCCCTTCTATCTAAATGCGTTTATAATATTTTTGTGAATTAATACTGCCGTCAATTACAAATCTGTCTACCTGGATTGCTTCTCGTAAGCATCAACTATATTTAAATCTCTTTCATCTTAAATTTATTGGTTGACAAACGTCCTAAAGCAAAGCCTTGAATCTTTTGGCAGCTACTCCAACGTTTCACATTCAAACAAAAATGTCCTTATTTTAGCATATCTCTATTCAATGTTGAGTAGATGTGCTTCTTTCAAACAAATCATTTTTAGCATAATGTGTGGAGAATAAGATGCCTTTTAACTTTAAATGATCTAGTCCGTGAACAGTTAAGAAGGCCCTGCTATTAGTTCTTCACTGTCAGGTGGGCTTTCCCTACGACTTGTGATTTAGACTGAATGCAAATAAGTTCATCGAATGGGTTTTGCCCAGTTCTCAGCATATGGGGTTTTGTTATTGAATAACTGACTTTTAGTAACGCAAAGCCTTTTTTGTAACTGTTAGAATTTTTGTCTTCCTATGATGGGCAACTTAGCATCAACTGTGTTAGAAATTCTTCATTTGTGTACTTACCACCCATTTACCATTAATTATGGGTCTGAATCGCTACTGGGTTTGAAGTACTTATTCTCTGAAATTTATGCAATCTGATCAGCATGCGTTTTGGGACTTCGAATATGAATTTGTTCACGACTTAAATTTCCACAAATAGCATCTGATTTATCTCAAATATTTCATCCTTGTTCATTTCCGACAAACCGGGAAACCTCGAAGGTCATGGAAACAGTGTGGGTTCCGTTTATAGAATAAATACATGCCTTTGCAACACCAAACTTGATTAACTCTTCTTTACTTCTGGAGTCTAGCATAAAATATTCATTTTGATCGCGATCATATCCAAATGAATATCATTAACTTGAATCAGAGAAGGAGTTCCCTTCCAAGTTCCTTGTCAATAGTAAACTTTCAGAACTCGAACACAATTAAAATAAGGTGAATTTCCTTAAAGCATTTGCGATAGAATGTTTGTCTACCTTTACATTCGAACCCACCTACGCAACGGCCATCCTATTTGGCCCTTTGCTAATTTGTATTTTAACTCGAAATCACTTTTCAATGGGCATTTTGGCATTTCCAACTGTTTGACAGCAAATTGTGAATTTTGTGGTCAATTTTCGATGACATTTTCTGCATTGATCTATATCTATCTTTGTTATTTTTTGATCTTGTTCTTAAAGCATTAATGCCTTTCATTTGATCGACTTTTTAAATCCTACATCAAGCAATCCATTCAGGCACTTTTGGTAACAGTATGTTATTATGCAGATGGTTAATGACATGGGTAGTTTGACCCTTGGAATGGCATTGTTAGCGTGGGTTCAATGAATGCACTAAACGCTTATTTTCTTAACTACATCTTCAAAACCAAACAGAGTTCAAAGCAAATAAGAGCAAATTTTGTTTTCTGAACCTCAGAGTTATGCTAAGATGACGACGGAATACCCAGATATGGACTCTAGAGAGGCTTCAGTTCGACGTTCATCATCTAAGAGTTTCAAAGGAATTGCCCGCATATTTAAGCCTGACGTGGCCAAGACCTGCAACATGAAAATACGGATAACCTCATTCCGGGAAAACCGCAAACACTATTCCTCTGCACAGCAACAACGGCAGGCGTTACAGGAGCCCGAAAGCCTTTTGAGGGAAATTGTACGTGCTAAATATCACCCGCATCTCTCATTACTGAAGGAAGTTAAGTGATGTCTGTTTCCAAACGCTCATCAGTCAGCAAGATTAAGTACCTCTTACAATGCTATTGCATGCTTTAGCCGAGAGTTGCTTTACGTGTGACATTTTTATGAATTCCTATGGTTCATTTCACCCTAAAATACGCTTGCAAGCTGTCATTCATTGACACCGTTGAACTTCCGATTGTCTGTCAAAGAACCATCTCGGGCGTTTTCGTGATTTGTTTTCCATTTGTGGTTTAAGAGAGCGCAAACCTTAGACTTTCAAATATAATTCAACAGCATATCGCGGCAATTTATTACAATGCCTCAAGTCGTACTTGAGAGGTACGTGAAAGTTGTGTGAATCAGTGCGCTATAAATGCAGTTTGCCAACTCAAATTCCCGTGAGATTCATTCATGCAATATCTGGTTTTAAAGAACAATTTCATGATCACTCCTATTTCCTACCCATCTCGTGACGAGGCATAGATCAACAAATGACCTGAAGTTGCAAAGACATTGTGCATAAATTAACCAATTACATCACGACACACTCAAATCTCATCAAGCTATAGCATCATAAGTCAGAATTATAATTACTTTCAACGCAATTGCTCTGTCCAATGCTCACATCCCTTGTCAGAAGTGAAAGTATGTCAGCAAAAAAAGGAAAAGTGGGCGCGTCATCCTTCTTTCACAGGGTGTGCCACGTGATCACCCTGTCGACAGCTTTTATCGCAAGGCATGCCTCTGTGGAGGTCAATTCATCCTATTGCTGACCACAAAAGCATCACCATTACCAGTAGCTGTGTGCGTATACTTGTGAACCCGCATTTTAGGAGGACAAAATGTGGCACTTTCGCCTGCTTCCATTGCGTCGTTTTGTCGTACTATGCAAAAGTTTGAGGCTGTAGTGTTTGTGTCTGTGCATGTGACCTCAGCGGCAATGCAAATTTGTGCCAAACTGCGTACCTCTCCAGATACTTCATCGCATCACCTGTTGTGCTACTGAACGAATTCAGCGCTGTAAGAACTGTCGTGTGGGAAACTCTGTGCCCTGAGCTCATTGCACAACTGGAGATAGAGATACCATTGAGGAGGTTGTAAAATACTGATATTTTGGCGGTAGATGAGCTGATCGATGAACTATGGGTAGGTTAGGCCCGGCCTTATATCATTATTTTGAAGGCCAAATCGGTAGACTGAGGTTAATTTGTCAGCGTTATCGTGGAAGCTGATGCGCTGATCAAGGGCCTCTCATAATTGTTCTTTATCTGCACCAGCATGCTCAAGTTCTGAGTAACACACTCTTGAACTATACTTGTCGGAGCGTGGAAAGGTGTTTCGTTGGGAAGTAGTGGCACGCAAGCTGGTGGTAATTCTTTATTGCAGAAAGCATTCACTTCTCTAGTCAGCACTTGATTTCATCAATTCATATCAAACAGTTCAAATAGGCTCTTGCTACGAAGCTAAGATTTTGCCTATAACTTGCCAGCATGGAGAAAGGGGTGTTGAAGTTTGTACTTTTTTTCGATTTCAGCCAGCGCTAGACTTTCAAAAGCTGAAGGCTGATCTCTATGTGGATTTGGCCTACACCAACAACCTGTTGCGACAGCGAGTACATCGGGACAACTTGACGAATCTGGTGGCCCAAATCACTGAGTGTCTGCGGCTTATCCGCTGTAGAGTCGCCACCGCGGCCGCCTACATCCAGACAGACGGACTTCCCACCCTTCCCATCTCTGTGTCCGCCTCAACCGTCGGCTCTGGAGCAGCAGCATTCAGGTCGACAGCCATCACTTCGAAACCTGAGAGGCATTATTGCAGGTGAGTTCGTATTTCCCATCATTTTGTGAGAAAAGAAGGAGAGACACATCGAAATTTGCTTCTCTGGTGAATTGATACTTTAGGTTTCAGTTTCTTTTTTTACCTGCCATGAAAATCGGCTTCTTAGTCTAAAATTTGCCCACTTTGGTAAAATATTAGGTTTCGTCCTCCTTTTTTATCTGAAATTTCACGTACTATCCTTAATCATAGGATGGTTAATGTGTTTCTTTCTTCTTGGAAGCCTGGTTTCTTTTCGTTGAGCATTGTGCTGATAGTTTTATGCATCTCTTTATTTCTTAAACCTATCCACTAGTCTCATTTCCAAAAGAAAACTTTTTAAATTTATGAGATCAATATTTTTTTCTTAAATAGCGCTGACTTCTTTGCTTTGCTAAAGTGATCTAGTCACTCTACTCAAGCTATGCATTGCTCCTCGAGGTGTAAGGTCACTTCGAAGCCGAGTTTTTCTGTAGATGGGAATCAGACTCCATTTCGCCCCCACTTTCTTCTAATCAGCAAGAGGAAGATGGTGCTTATTAGGAATAGGACCTTCTTAGCAGTGCACAACTACTCTAGGCTATTTTTTCACGCGATTGTATCGCCTCAAGCAGATGAACCTCAGTTTTAACGACTGTCTGGCCCTCAGAAAGCAGCGTGGTGGTGTGGGATGCCTTAGTGATAGGGTTTTCTGGAAATCGGACATGTCATGTTTGTTCCCCAAGCTAATGCCACAGTGCAAATGTCAATTCTTCTCACAGGCCAGTCATTCAGTCTGTTAGCAAACAATGTAAAGACGGTGCATCTCTCTTGAGGCCAAATTGTTATCTGTCGGGATATGGCGCTAGAAAGTTTTTCTCACTACCATGCTGAAACATTCGAACCCCATTTAGCATTTGCTCTACGAATTGTACAAGAAACTCAAACTCTTCTAGTGGACAACTTCGAATCAGGCTTAATGGCTTTTCAACGATGCAAGAGTAGTACGAACACATTGTACGCCTTAGATGCAAACAATCCCATGAATTTTGGAAGTCGTTACATACTCAAAGCAAGCTGCATCAGAAACCAGGGGAATTTTTGGGCCACTTTATCTCCTAGGAAAAGGAATTTTTACAAATCTTGGGTCCTGTTTAAATCCAAACAATCTCACTTGTCCACATAATGATAGACACCTGTTTAATTTGGTGATAAAAAGTTCGCGTTTTTACTAGATTGACTGACACTAATGAAGTTGTTCGATCGTTTTTAAAAACTCTCACTTGATTGGTTTATCGGACGACTGATTGACTAGCTGACATCAACGCTTCTGCGATTTCTAAGTGCACGTCTGCAAGAAAAGGGGCGGGCCTAAAAACAACGTTCGTATTGTTTCTCTGATCCAAACTATCTGAACGAGTTTTTTGGCAGTACGCACGAGTTGCTCTCGGTGTAGTCATGTTATCAAAAAGAAGTGCTGATGAGTCAGTTCATCTGTCGACAGAAGTCGAATTAAGGGTGATTCAAAGGAAACTGGAAGATGACTTTCACTGTCGCACAGAAAGTTGACAAGAGAATCACTTATTATGCGTTGTTGCCTCCTCTAAGATTGGGTGTTTTGTTCTGTGTTTATGAATGATGCATTGAAACCAGTACCGAGTTGCCAAGTAATTTTGACGGGTGGATTTTCATGTTTTATATATAAATAGCGTTGTAAGAACTGATTTTTACGTTGTTTGGACGAGGTAGAGAATTGAGAGACTTTTATTTTTCTTTGCAAACCCAGTGAAAATCGGGTAATTCTTGAAGCAGTAAGTCGGTTCGAAAACGCATACGTGGCGTTTGCCGGTTGGTTAACAGAACTGGCGACACTCAATCCACCCCCAATGGAAGTGCTACCCGTCACCCTGGGCAGAGAAACACCTGCTGGGCAGCCCTGTGTGAATCCCTCCACCTCCACTACTGCCACCGCTACAACAAAGAAAGGCGGTCTTCGTGTCACCCTCCCCCTACCTGTCACTCGTCCTCCCTCCTCCTCATCCTCCGCCCATTCGTCTGACTCGCCTCGCCCTGACGATGTGATCACTCCTGACGATGTTGGCGAGGTTATGGCGCGTGGCAACGCCTGCTTCCTGGCCATTCAAACCGCCGCCGAGGTGAGAATTCACCCATCTGTTGCATTTAGCCTCTCAATAAATCATATTGCGCTATTTTCAGCCAGTTGAGAGGTTGATGAAGTATGAAACCTTTTGTCTGATCATCTGCTTTCTGAAAATTTAAGTAACTGCTGAGATTGATGCTTTGTTCAACTTCCTTAGGCTTTATTACAAGGGTGGAGTTGTCTGCATATTTGTTTTACAATCTCATTCACTTTCACCTCGATTGCCATTTTTTCATGTCTGAGTGCATTGTAGGCTCCTTTTCTTTGGGTTTAGATCAACATTTCTTTGCTTTTTTTGCTATTCCTATCCTAAATTTACGTTTTTTAATGCATAAATCACCCTATTTTTTCTGCTATCAAGACCCTATGTTTTCCTTGATAACGAATTGTACCGCTTCCTCAACCACCCAGGCAGTTGAAATTAGGAGCGAAAACAAAACTGTATGGCTTTTGCGGGGAAAAGAGTGAAAGTGATTGTACCAGGTAACCCTTCCATCGTTATCTTCCATCTAGCAGGATGTTACAGTGTAAGAACCATATTTGAAGGAGCCAAAAACAGTTGTCTCATTCCCACCAAGCAAATTTCGTCCACACAAACACTGGTGGGACTGAAGTGCTGAGTGCACTAATGTACTTCTAGAGTTTTGTTTTTACAAAACTGGGCTACGCTTCCGTATGCATATGTCCTCTTCCATCGCCTACCTATTTCTTAGACCTATTAAATATGTGCTGAGTATATGCAATACCAATTGGGAAATCTTTTGGAACTTTTCCATTAAAATGCAGAAGCACACCGTTTGTGCTCACAAGCGGACCAGGTAAATAGGCCCCGGCTACCCTTTGATGAGTGCATTACATTGGTAGGTCAAATTGTCGAATAGACGCATGGTACCCGTCATTAGGCGTGCGGCTGCCATATATTGGCTGAGAGACCTTAATTCACCATGCTTCATGCTGCAAAATACTATAAATTCTGCTGTGGGCATGACGAATGTTTCTTCTCGTCTCCTTTTGTCTTTTAAGGTCATTTTAGCGAGGCAGTCACGTGACTTGGCTGATTCACAAACCTTTTTTTGTCGTCTGTCCTCTTTGCCGCCCTCGATTGACGCCCTTCATTTACATCAGGATGACAGAGGTTCTCTTAGTTTAGACGCACCCTGGAAAAGGGCCATTTTCCTCACCTCATGTCAGTTAGTGGGGCCATATCGGAGAAAGCTTTTCTATATTCACGATCAAATTGTATTGAGGAAGAGTTCCAATGTAGTAAAATTTCATTCGTTATGCTGAAAATGAAGCTACAATGTGGTATCTGGTTTCATGTCTGACACTCGCATGCAAAAATGTGCTCGTGTACTCTTAATTTAACGGAAGGCGAGATGGGTGTTATAAATGGCCGTCAGGTTATAGACCAGCCTTGTTTGTGTACATTGATCTGGCATTAACTCCTCTACCTCTCCTTTTTTATGCCAAGGACAATGGTTTCCGCAGCTGGCTCACAGTTTTTTTCCACTTAGAGAAGGCTTCATTCAAGTCTGTAAGGGAATCATCTGTGAAAGTGGAAGGAGAATTAAGCCAGTCAAGCGTTCGCTTTTGATTTTGAGCCTTCGATATGATTCCTCGGCATATTCACATAGTAGTTCAAACTGAATGACTTGTTGATGAAACCATTTTGGAAGAATACCTCCATCGTACCTGCACGACAAGAGCATGTGCCGATCTTACTCCCATAGCAATGCTGAAAGACTTCTGTGTTATGGGACATGCGCGACCGCTTTTGCGACCTTTGATAACGTCACATAACTCTTAGATTACAAAAGACTGTCTTATCAAGCACTCTACCATTACTACTTTTCACTTCTACCAGTGGTGCCTGGACTCCACTGACCCACGATGTGTATACGTCCTAGTGTTGCAGACAATGACATTTGCAACTTGCTGCTCTAATTGTGACCATGGTGTTGAACGCGAACGATCTTTGCATATTTCGAGGCAAGAGCTGAAAGATTAGAGGCTATCGCCTAAAAATTAGCGTACAGTCCAACGAATTCGTCCTCTCTTCATTTGTGGAAGATAAGTGTGCTAGGAACCCCATTCGTAAATTGTCGCACAAGGCGTTGATCTCTTTCAAGTGAAGGAGGGATTGAAATGCGACAATTCAAGGTTTTATTGGAAGACGTAATTGGATTTACCGAGTCACTAATTACTGGAAGGTATTCAATCCCTGCGAGTACCCACACAAACCTGAATACATAACTCAGGCACTCTCTTGGTGCGCATCGTCTTCGTCGAGTGTGAATGCTTGCAAACACCATAGTCAGGAAAAGTGAACGTAAATGGAAGTGAGAACCTTTTTGTAGCCATATTTATCGCGCCCTTTATCGCATTCCATATGAAAATGAAGAAAGGTCCAGTTGTACAACTTCTGTGCCTCTACTTGAAACCTCTTGCTATTCCGGCGTATGACAATTTTGTTTTTGGATAAAAGCTCCTTTTTTGCAAACCGCATGAGGTTTGTGAATGTTTAAACGCACTAACAAATGGAGTGCGTTCTCTCAGTTTGATTTCGTAGTTTATTTTCCGACCTAATCTTTACTCTTCTCCTTTGTATGAACCGATATTGAGTTTTTCGCTTTTTGGGTTGAATTTCCAAGATTTAGGTAATCACAGAGACTGATTGATAGAGACCTTTTAAATCTGAAATTCTCTCCAAAATCGAGAGGAGGTTTAAATAATATCGATGGCACAAGAGCATTCGCGACCTTTAAACGAATAGAATTTGCCATGCGGTACTTAGTAATATGGCACTTGACTGGCATTCCAAAGTTCGAGACCGCGCCTGACTCGCTGATTCTATCCTCCTCTTGCTCCCGTTTTTTGGCATCCTCACTTCTCCTTCCGATTGCATTATTCCCCTACTGGCCCGATCCAATTCGCTTTCAAATTGACCACCCACATCA